TCCAGGTTCCTGCCCTGAGTTCCTACCTTGGGATCACTGATGAACCGTGACCCTGGAGATGTAAGATAAATAAACCTTTTCCCCCCAAGTTGGTAGTGGTCAGAGTGTTTTGTCACAGCAATGAAGAAAAAAACCAGGACAAAGACCAATAGCTTATAACCTAGATGCTAGAGTTAATGTATAATAGAGGAGAAAAATCTTACAAATTGATCGTAAAAGAGAAATGATAAATAGCCCAGTATAAAAATAGGCAAAGGGCATGAACAGAACATGTAAATCACTAATAAACACATACAAAGAGCAAGAATGTGAATCAGTAGTAGAAGAGTGTGAACAAAACCAACTGAAGTGCCTTGATCTGCCCAGCAAGTTGGCCAGCAGCTTTAAAGATAATGACCATCCAGTGTTGACTGTGCAGTGGATCGTCTTTGCACACTGCTGAACTGATTGCATGGAACTTTCTGTTTTTGTTTTGTTTAATGAGACAAAGTCTCACTCTATAGCCCAGGCTTGACTAGAACTTACATATAGCCCAGGTTAGTCTTAAATTCATAGGAACTCTCCTGATTCTGTCTCCTAAGGGCTGGGATTACAGATGTGAGGCACCTCACACAACTATACAGAAAGAAATGTAGCAGTAACCATTCAAATTGTTAATGTGCTTGCAGCATTTGGCCCCACCATTCCACTCCTAAGATTCTTTCCCACAGAAGCAAATGCACTAGAACATTAAGCATGTTTAAGGAAAGCTGATTATTCTTAATCTGGTTATGGAAGCCAACCTTGGAAACGGTCTGATTGTTCAACCACAGTTTTGAATTTTATTTTATTTTTTTATTTTTATTTTTTTCTCATTGCAGCTGATTTGTTTGTTTGTTTGAAGCAGGGTCTCCCTGTAGCCCCAGCTGTCCTGGAACTCACTATGTAGACCAGGCTGGCCTTGAACTCACAGAGATCCGCCTGCCTCTGCCTCCCAAGTGCTGGGACTACAGGCGTGCGCCACCATGCCCGACTTTCACACCCTTTTTATGTGTCGACCCACTGAATTTAGAGTTGCCTTGCATGAGCATGGGTGGAAGATTATTTTCAGTGGTACATCAGTAACTTGCGAGTGGACTCCACTTACAGGAAAGAAACACCCCCCCCCCAGCCACCATTTACTGTCAGTGGTCCCTCAGGGAGGGGTGGGGCCTCATCAGTGTTTCTCCCTTCTATGATGAAATGTTGATAGACCCAATCTTCTGCTGGTCTTGTAGAAGTAACCACAACTGTAGTGATGAGTGCATATCCAGGAGACACTGTTTCTCCCTAGTCCTCCCCAACCTCTGACTTTTTTGCCATCTTTCTATCCCCTCTTCCATGATGTTCCCTGAGCTTGGGAGTGTTGCTGATATACATGTTCCATTTAGGACATCCACAGTTGCTTATTCTCTGATATACAGTTATTTTTCAATAGGTAGATGCATAGATTTGATAAAAATATCAGTACTGGTGAGAACAAGTAGAGGTGTGTATGTTCTTTAGTTATCTCTTGGGAGGAGATAAAACTGGGACCTGATTTATATAGCTATCTACATTTTAAAAGGTGATTATGAGGAAGACATGGGGGCATATGCCTGTTATCCCAGATATCAGGAAACTGAGGTAGGACAATGGCAAGTTCAAGGCTACCTGAGTAACTTCATTAAAGTCCTGTCTGGGTATAAAACAAAAGGGGATGAGGGTGTGTAGTTCCTTGGTAAAGCACTTGCTTAATATGCATGAAGACTGGTTTCAGTCTCCAGTACTTAAAAAAGTTGATTATAATGAACTATTATCTCTTCTGTACTAAATATAGTGATGGCTAGAGGTTTGTGGGCGTATTCTTTGAAGTTATGTTATCTAAGCAACTCTGATGAAAATCACAGTCAATTTATCATATAGCTAATACCAATTATTTTTCTGCATGTCTAGAAAAGAATCCTCTATGGAAAATTAATAAAAGAATGTCTACTCCCGTTTCTTGTTTTTTGTTTGTTATTTAGTTCTGGTTTTGATGTGTGTTTTGGTTTTGATTTGGGTTTCGATTTGGGTTTTTTTTGGGGGGGTTGGGAGGTTTTTTTTTTTTAAGACAGGGTCTCCCTGTAGCTCCAGCTGGCCTGGAACTTGGTATGTAGTCCAAGCTGGCCTCAATTTCACAAAGGTCCTCTTGCCTCTGCTCGCCAAGTGCTGGAATTAAAGCAATGTGCCACCACTGTGGATTACTCTAGCTTCTGTAGGTTGAATGATGCTTTATCCATTAGACACTCATATTGTCTGCTACTGTGGTAACTGGGGACCACCAAGTTAAATTGGACACTACAGTTTATTTAATACCATACTGGGTCATGTGGTTTCTCCTCTTATTACCCATCTTTATCATTCTTTCATGCCTGTTCCTTCCTTTATTTTGACCTACTTTTCAGTATATGTAACCCTATAGCCACATCTGGTGCTTTTGGGAAGATAACATGGGGAATATCAATGAATATTGACCAGTGATCTCTCTTTTTTAACAGGAACCTGGGGGGAAGCAGTGTCAATAATGAATAGGCCACCCATCACTACCAACTGCAGATGACTTGCCGTTTCATTTACAAAGGTAAGGTAATATATTCTGTATTCTTAATTTTGACAGATGCAATATAGACCCCTTACTTTTCCTATTGTATCTTTATTTACCTTAGTTCATGCCTTTTAACTTTGATAATATCAAATTTAAAACAAACATCAAGCAAATAAAACATGGAACTCTTTTGAATGTCAGTGTGTCTGAAAGGACAAAGCATGGGAAAAGTGGGCTCTGCCCTTAATTGTGATGCATGGCTAATTTTTAATGGCCTTGATATTTTCCTTAATTTTAAATTAATACTTGGGAAGTTTAACAAAATATTGAAGGAATGCTGGCTGCATCTGCAATCTCAATCTTGAGTTATCAGTATTTCTGAAAATAAGCATTCTTCTTTTATAGACATAAATATGATTATAATGTTTGTAGAGATTATATTTTTTGATCTGTGCTTACGTTAGCTTCTACAATTGCAAATATGTAATGTACATAGTGAAGAAACATAACAAGCCTAAAACCAAATAGTAGTTACCACTCTGACCATGTTAACAGTCCTTTGTAGTTTGCCAGTGTGATGCTTAGTGTTAACTGTCAACTGGACAGGATCTAGAATCACCAGGAAGATAGGACTCTGGGAGTTTATCTTGATTGCATTAATGGAGGTGGGAAGACCCACCTACTGCCACACAATTACCACACCACCTACTGCCACACAATTCCTCTCATTCCCTGGACAACTATCCAAACTGTATAAAATGGAGAGAGTGAGCTGAGTACAGGCATTCACTGTTTTCTTCTGACCATGGAAACAGTGTGAGCAGCTGCTTCAAGTTCCTGTTGCCTTGACTTCCCCACTGTGATGGACTCTGCCTTGAACTGTGAACAAAATATGGCTTTTCTCCCTTAAGTAGCTTTAGTCCAAGTATTTGATCACAACAGGAAAAGAAACTAAGAGAGCCTGTCCCTGCACTCTCATTTGCCTCTACTAGTGGGTATTCCTGGTTCATGTAACCTTTGTCAAGTGTCACTTTACAGCTGGGGAAAAACAACAACTTTGAACCCAGATATTAGTTCATGGCCGTCCTTTATTATTCATGTCTGTTCTGTACTCTGTAAAGGGAATTTGAATGAACTAAAGAAAAGTGTACCCATTTATCTCCTCCTCTTCCCTACTGTCAAGTCAAGGGTGATTTACAAAGTAATAAAATATACCTTGAGACCATGTCCTTATGTCCTTAACGTATGTCCATTTCCCAGAGGTTGTTTCTCAGTCCCTACAGATTGGCTCTGGAAGTGTTTCCATTTTAAAAGCTGCAAGGACTGAATACTGGGGATGCTCAAGTGGCATTCCTCAGAGAAGGCCTCTTTCTCTTGGCCCTACTAAGCAGCTAAAGATTGACTTTTTATACTGAGCTGATATTATAAAATTTCGCAAGTATTTTAATCTTCCTAGCATTTTATTCAGAACCCACCAAAATATTGTTCTAAGGAAACTAGAAAAAAATCATTATTTCAACACATAAAGCAGAAATTGTATTAAACAATTGTTTTTGAAGATTCATGGTTCTACTATAGACAGGCTGAATGATCTCAGGATTAAAAAATAAAGTGTGGGGGGTGGGTTGTGGTAGTACTAGCTGTGTCAGGGTGTGCTTGTCACAGTACAAATATCCTGAATGACCATAGTCACATGAGGCACATGGCATCAGGGGTCAATTCAGTTATTTAGTTCCAGTATAGAAAAATAACTGGTGTAGCAAACATTGAACTTACTAGAAGCCTTGGATTTTAAATGTTTCAAAGGCTTATACAAATGTCTAAAGTCATACCTCTCCCTAGTTTATAAATGCCCTTCATTCAGTTTAAGATTCTGATTATACAGTTACCATTATTTATCACAGAGGTAACTGGCTTTAAATTTTTTGAATGAATTTATAGTTAAATATGAATGCCTTCTTGAAAGGGGAATAAAAATACATGTTTGAATATCTAATATCACTCAATAAGAAAAATATTTTATCTAAATACACTGGGAAAATCACAAAGTTAATCAATAGTTTTGAGCATGAAGACTAAAGCATCTGTGTGTCATAATTTTCAGACAAATTAAAAGGCACACAGCAGCATGGGAAAATGCTAACAGTGCACTTAGTAATGGATTAATAGCCTTAAAACAGAAATAATAAGGAAATTACTAATACTAAAATACTAATCACTAAAATCAATAATTAAAGCACTGTGATTCTAATAGGTAGATAACCAAAGAATGGAAAACTCAGAAGAAATACAAAGAGTCAAAAATGATATGGGGATAATGTTAACCTTCACTAGTAATTTTCAGAATTGAAAATTGAAATGGAGAGAGTCATTCTTTTACCTGCCAAATTATCAAAGCTATCTAACATGATAGTAGTCATTCTGGAGAACCACCTCTCACTCATGTCTTCTTGGGAAGAGATTTGCCAGTACAGGAAGAACTTTAGGACCCTGATAGTAACTGACTCAGTAATTACAGGAATCGAGTCCAAGATAACACTGGAACTGGGTGAAGATATTTACAGATAATTATTGTATTATTGGCAGAAGCAAATTCTTGAGCTGCCTCAACTACTGTTCCATATCAGTACTGTTAACTAAAAAACTGACACACAACTGGGTTCACACAGTAGTGTACCTTGCATCTAAAAGAAATTATTTTTCTTCCAGGAAGATTTTATCATAAAAGAGGCACATGCTTAGTATATCAATGTCCAGTGAAAAATACTAAGATGGCACTATAGTTTTTCATATAAAAATGCACCGAACAAAGGCTGGAAACAAATGTGCTAAAATGTGACTAGTGGCGTTGATTAAGGGAAATAGAATTAAGAGTGATTTTTGTTGTTGTTCTGATTCATCTTTCCTGGTACTTTCCAGATATTTTTACAGTGAGCACTTATAACCAGAATAAAAATAAATAGCTTTGTAATATGAAATTTACACACATGATATGGATTCAGAGTTCCATAGTATCTTTTGGGGCTTACAGAAGTAAATATACTCCCAAAATGAGGACCATAGATTTTTTTTTCTTTTTCTTTTTTTAAGTATTCTTAGGTTTTTGTTCTTTCTCATTCTTTCTTTCTTGGAAACAATAGCAGTAGCAGCAACAAAGTCAAAATGTAAAAATGCATATTTTCCTTAAATATTATTAATGTGATATATTGCAGGGTATTTAAATTAAAATGGAAATGTTTTTCCTTTGTAGATGTCGTCAGCTGCTGAAAATGGAGATGCAGTACCTGGAAAGCAAAATGAAGAGAAGACTTACAAAAAGGTCTGTCTTACTTTCTTCAGCTCAGAAAGAGTAGCAGTCTTAGATTGTTCTGCCTGTTGATTTTGGTAGAGGCCTTTTCTTCCTCCAAAACAGTTGCTACTGTCTTTCTTGTGGCTACTATAACCAAGTAGCACAAACTTGGTGGTTTGAAGGACACAGATATATTTTCCTGTCATTGTGAAGTCAGAAGTCTGTCACAGGGATCTGACTAGTGTCCACAGAGTTGCATTCCTTCCAGAACAGCGGTGGGGGACAGTTGGAGTCCTTGTTCCATTCAGCAGTTAGAGGTTGTGTTCCCAGGACCATGCTTCCCTCTGTCTCAAAGCCAGCAGTGGCTGGCAGGGTCTGTATTAGGCTATAACCCCTTTAACACTCCAAAGGACCTGTGTGATTATACCACGCTCTTCTGGATAATCCAGAATGAGTTCTTTATCTTAAAGCTAGCTGATCAGCAACCTTAATGTTCTCTTGCCTTAACTCCTTATTGCTATATAACACAGTGTAGTCATAGGGCCCAAGGCCTAGGACATGAGCGTTTTGCAGGACAGTTTTCTGCACACATAGTTGCTATTTGAAGACTAGTGAGGAGAGGTAGTTATTTTTCTACCTTTTTATTTCACTTTCCTCTTTCCTTCCTCCCTCCCTCCCTCCCTCTTTCTTTTCTTTTCTTTTCTTTTCTTTTCTTTTCTTTTCTTTTCTTTTCTTTTCTTTTGAAACACAGTCTCCCTGTAGCGCCAATTGGCCTGGAACTCACTTTGTAGACCAGTTAGCCTCAATCCCACAGAAAATTTTTTTATTCTTAAGAAGACTCTTAATGGTACATGGTATTCTATGTTCAGCATATTAATCCTCTAATTGACTCACTTTAAAATACTAAGTTGTTTCTACCTTTGAATTTTTTTAATGTAAGTGAGATGCTGTCCCCCACCCCTTTTCTTGAAACCTCAGACTTCATGTCTAGTCCATTTAACACAGATCTCTTCTTCTAGGCTTCCTTGTGTATCTTACCACTCTTCAAATTTGATAAACTGGCAAACAAGCTAATGTTCAAAAATGTTATTAGATAAAATATGCCCCCTAGCAGCACTGCTCCTGTTTATAAGTTGACCTTATACACTATCACTTTTAGAAATTCTTGCCCTCCTGCTATCTTAGGAGTAGGAGGTTTATGTATTGAGAATTTGCTATAGCTTTATTTTTTATTTTTGCACATTATTCTTTGGTGGACAGCTAGTGAGAAGCTTTATCATCATACACTTGAGACATCTGATCTGACCATGTATTCAGGTCATGAGATTATGTGATACATTGTTTTTTTAAGAGAGAGAATTTACCCTTTTTCCTTTATATATGTTAAGCTGACTTTTCTACTTAGAGAACCCTAGAAATAGAACTATGAAGATGCCATCCAAAGTGATGATGTGGTTAGGGAAAAGCAGGGTAACAATTCAAGAGTTCAAAAATGTCAGATCTTTTGAAATTTGTACATCCAGCCAAAACTAAGAATATACTTTTACTTAGTTTTAGACACAGGTAGAAAAGCTAAATCTTTCTTATTTACCCAGCAAGCATGAAACCAGTGTAGAGATGGTTAAATGACCAGCCTATCATTACTTCAGGTCAGTTTCAGGGAGTACTCAGCACCAAACTGCACCAAAATTCTTGACTGAAATCCTTTGTAATGCAACTGTAATAGGAAGAACATGATCATGACATCTTGTAGTTTCTTAAAAGTGCCCTCACCCAGGATTTAGCAAAGCCAGTTTTCAGTAGTATTTTTGGAATGATTCTACAATCAATGGATATTTGACTCAGCAAGGACGTTATAAAAATTAAAAACTCACATACTATAATAATTTCTACAGATAGAGACAAAAGAAAGTTGAGAAACCACATAAACGTGCGTGCAGGTGCATTCACATACACCCATACTCCCGCCACACACACATGCACAGAAAACCAACAATGTCAAGATACGTAACAGTAAAGGAATCTTTGATGATCTCTGACTTTAAAATACATAAGAGAAACAGGGAGAGATTGTTAAAAAATAAAGACACGCCAAAATCCTCAGCCTATCACCTGGAACCTTAGCCCTTAATAAATGTGGTGTTGATGCACACGGCACACAGAGATCACTTAGAAAGAGTGGTGCTTTCCTGAAAGATCAAAGCTCAGCTGGATTATTCAGTTCCTCTTCATGAAGCAGATAGATCTTCAAAGTGGAGGTATTAATGTTGGAGTTGGGACTTTTGATAATATGAGACTAGTCACTCTTGTAAATGCATTTTTCTCTAGGCTCAGACAAACATTCCCCAGATGAAAGAACTTGAAAAAGAGAGACAACACTGGGTATAAGCTTTGAACAAATTTGAGGATGGTAGAATTGTTGTAAGGCAGGAGATAGTGAATATTATCACTGTTGTAAAAGACAAGGGAAAGGTATATTCTAGAAAACAGATGACGAGTGAGCTGTTGTTCTGCATCATGCTTTGAAAATTATGACTAAACGTATGACTTACATTGAGAGAAGCAAGTGTGCCTTTTATAAGCTTTGAAAAGCTCAAGATATAGTTTATGTCACATTAGCCACATTTCCTATTATGAGTGCCATTACTCTGCTTATAGATAAGGAGAGTACTCAGATTTAGTCAATGTTAACTAAAAGACACTGGAAGAATCTGTGGCTTTCTTTCAGACAACATAAATAAATATGGATTCAATACTATGCTGAGTGTATTTGTACCTTGTTGGGTAAATGGTCCCAAAGAAAGATGGCTTTGTTCTCTGTTCCCTCACTCTCCATCAGCATGAGGCATGAGTTGCCCCTGTCACTTAACATTTACCTATAACCTTCACAAAAACATAAAAATTGTGCTTTGCAAGTGCCCAAATCACAAAGAAACTGGAAATGGCAGCTCCTCAGCAAAGCTGACTTTCCTTCCCAGTCCTGAAGCTCTGATGATGGGGTATGGGTCTGTTTAATGAAGTGCTTTGGTAATCCATTGTCTCCTATGACTAAAGGCAACCATGGGTCCCAGGTTAAACTACCTCCCTACCCCCATCTACTATTAGGAACAAGAAAGATCCCAAAGCAGCCTATAAGGACATTGCAGTTACCTGGAGTAGTGAGACATGAAAACTGTAGGACACGGTAACCTCTAATGAAGTGATAAGAGAAGAAACCATTGTGGATCAGTGCTTTCCAGTTGTCTTGGGCTTTCCTCTGTGGGGCTCCAGATTAGTTGGACAGCTGCCAGCAGCACTCAGCTTCGTAAGTGTTATGATTTCCATGTGTTTTTATAGTACACTTAGTGTTCGTGGAACAATCCCATGCTCTCGGTGTCTTGATTATTTGCACATGATTGTTTAGACCATTTCCCTACTCCACTATCAGTTCCTGGCAAGCCCAGGAAGATAAACTAAATATCAGCCCATAAGGTTAATGTCTTCAGCTAATGGCTAAAATAAGTTGGATTTTAGCTGTGTGAAACAAACATGTTGCCCATTAAGACAGGCATTAATGGCTACCTCTCTACATTTATAGAGTCTAGGCTTTCCATTCTCAGTTAATTTGCTGAATATCTTCTGCAAGAGTTGTAAACACAAAAGCCTACAGGGGCCAGGCAGGAAACATGGAGTGTTATAACCATGGGAACCGCCTTAAGAATATATGCCTTCCTTTAGCGGGCAGGAGAAACTGCAGCCAACAGCTATGCATGAATGTGTGTGTCCAGGGTTGACATATACTCTGATTGCTCAGGAAGCCAGAAATGTGGAAGTTGATATGAAATTGTCCATTTTCTAAATCAGCAACTGATTCAAAAGATTTTTTTAAATTTACTCTGGGCAAAATAACCATGCCAGTGGAACATTTCTGGCCTACAAGGTGCATCCGGTTTGCAACGTCTGACCCTCTCTTGGTATAGAAAAGTGAGGCAGGAAAGAAAATGTGCAAAAGAAATGCCTGGAGAACTTGACTCTGCTTCCCAAAACCAGAAGTTTATTTGGAAGAAAGCATAGTTCCATATGAGAAAAACTTAAATAGTAGCCCAAATCAGTACTAGGTGTCAAGACAAGTGGCATTTCATTTCGTCATCACAAGTTCTGATGGACTTGAAACTTATTGCCATTTTCCGGGGCTCTCCCCAAGCTAGTTCATTAACAGAGCATTTTTCTGGAATGAAAATCTTACACTGTTTCATCCACTCCTGGTGGCTGTTGGTGGCTGTGCCTTCTAATTTGCTCATTTCTAATTTCCTTCTAATTTGCATGATGGGGATGATGAGCATGGCACATACTTGGGTGAGTGTGGCTTGCTGAAGGGACAAAAGAGGCTGATCTGAACACAGCCCAGTGTTTGGGAGGAAGTATCAGGCAGTTCTGGGAGTGTGGGGCTGACTCTGAGTGACAGCCAGCCCTGGGTGCTGGTTTAAGTTTGAATTTTATGTTCCAGGCCAGTGTTGTCTGATAGAACCTTCCATAATGAGAGAAACACTCAGTAATCTGCACCAAGACCATGGCCACAAGCTGCATGTGGTTGTTGAGGCAGCAAATGTGTCTTAGGAACTGCATTTTTTGTATGTATTTTTTAAATCCTTTTTTTTCAATTTATTTATTATTTTAATTTTATGTGTATGAGTGTACTGCCTGCATGTGTGTAAGAGCACCCATGCCATGCAGTGCCCTCAGAGGTCAGAAGAGGGTGTCAGATTCCCCTGGAACTGGAGTTACAGATGATTGTTAACTGCTATGTGGGTACTGAGAATTGAACCTGGGTCCTCTGCAAGAGCAGTCAGTGCTCTTAACCACTGAGCCATCTCTCTAGCCCCCTTAAAATCCTTTTTATATACTCTTTCACCTTTGCATAAATATATATAATGTATTCTAATCATATATATCCCAATTTTTCTCTTGTCCTCTTGCTACCCTCTCTGGGGCCCTTCTTCCACCTATTAATACATCCTTCTAATTTCATGTCTTTTTAAAATAGCCCTCTT